GGCGCGGGGCACCATGGGAAATGTAGTCCGGGGCGGTGCGTGGCCGCGGCGCGGGGCATGACGGGAGCTGCAGTTCCCCGGCTGGCGGCGGTTGGCGGCGGGAGGCGCGGGCGGGATGCGGCCCAGGGCGGGTGCGGACCGGGACCGGGACCGGGACAGGGACAGGGACCGGGACCGGGACCGGGACAGGGACGGAGCGGGGCTGGGGGCACACAGCGCGGGTGAGACGGTGCCGCGGTGCGCCGGGAAGCCGCACGGCGCTCGGGTCGATGCAGGGGCCGCTAACACCGCCTGTCCCCGCAGGTCCCGGCGAGTCCCCCGCCGTGCCCAGCCTGCCGCCGCTGGTGCCGGGCCCGCCGCGCTGCCTCCTGCGCTGCACCGTGTCGCGCCTGCTGTGGGCGGCTCCGCAGCCCGCTGCCGTGGTCCGCCTGCGCTGGTGGGGGGACAGCTCGGGCGGTACCGTGTTCCAGCCGCCGTGCCGGGCCGGGCAGCCCGCGGGCAGGACCTGCGCCCGCTTCCCCGTGCGCTGCGGGCCCCGGCAGCTCGCCGCTTACCTGGCAGGTACGGAGCCTGCGCCCGGGACAATGCCCCAGCATTGCCGGGGGTAGGGGTGGGTAGGCTTAAACTGGCCCAGGGTGGGCGGATAGGCTTAAACTGGCCCAGGGTGGGCGGACAGGCTTAAACTGGCCCAGGGTGGGCGTCAGCAGGAATTCCTCCAGGAAAGGGCGGTCAGGCACGGGGATGGGCTGTCCGGGGTTATCCTCTAGCTGCGGTCAGCGATCCTTTCCTGGAAATCCTTATCATCATGGATCAGCACTAACAGTGTCTGTAAGGAGCCTCTTCTCCTGTTACCTCCCTGTCATAATTTCCCTGTAGAACATAATGTTAATCTCTGCCAAAAGGTGTGAGTTAGGACAGGAAACTGACCTAAAACTGACATAAAACTGACATAAAACTGACCCGAAACTGACCTAAAACTGACCTGAACCTGACCTAAAACTGACATAAAACTGATCCGAACCTGACCTGAACCTGACCCGAACCTGACCTGAACCTGACACGAACCTGACCCGAACCTGACCTAAAACTGACCTGAACCTGCCCCGAACCGACCCGAAGCTGAGGCGTTGCTGATCTTTGCAGACATGGGCGTTCTTGTCCTGGAGGTGCTGACCAAACTCGACCATCTCCCCCTGGGCAGAGCTCAGATCACCAGACTGTCCCAGCTGTCCCCCAGCCATCCCATCARAGGCTCTTTCGCTGTGCTGTCCCCGACATCGGCTAAACTGGGAGAGCTGCAGGTAGGGCTGATGTCTTTGCTCGTTAATATAAATTATGGGCTGTGACACTGCTGTAATAGGTGTAGGATCCTGTGTACATGGCACACTGCAGCCCTGCTCTGTGTCCAGGGCATTTCTGAGCTAAGGGAACAAATGAAAAAGCAAATACTGGTAATGTGAGCTCTTTTGTTTAGTGGGGTAGTTGAGGTTAATGAGGAAAATGTGGTCATCTCTACACTGAGTGAGTATTAACAGTGGATTKAAAAGTGGATACTTGGTTCCAGCGTTTCACTGGGCTGGAACTGTAGAAGATTTTGACATCTATAATCAGAAAGTTCTGTCTTGCAGCCCTGGTCTGGAAAATTGATGATGAAAGATAGTTGTCTGGGATTTGAAAACATAGAATGAGAATCAAGGAGTTGTAAATAGCGTGGCAAAGCTGCATAATGTAAACATTACTCTATGCAGAAAAGCAACAGTTTTCCATAGCACAAGTGAAGTTGAATGCAGTGTTTTCTGTACTTAATGAAGAAAAGAACAAGGTAATATTTTCACATATTCCCTTTCAGGTCTCACTGGCTCTAGAACCTCTGCCAGAAGCGTATGACACCAGCAGCTCTGTCCCAACCACAGAGGGAAGTTTGGACGCTGCTGCTCAGGGAAACAGCAAGTGGCAGCTTCCTGCTCCATCCCAGCAGCACACACGGGTGACTGTTCCTGACCAAGAGCCTGCTGACAGCAGAAAAGCCATAACTCCCAGGTACCTTCTGTTCCCCATGAGAAAACTGTGGTTTATTTTGCAGCTGCCACAGAATTTTTAAGCAATGGCTGTACACTTGTGAGTTATGGAATGCTTGATCTTTTCGAACATACATTTTTATATTAAATCCAGAATGCTGAGGGTTTCTGAGGTGACAGGGACAATTTCTTGTCTGACAGAAATTTGCATCTTGCACTGACTTAGTTCAAGTCATGCAAGTTCACACAAGAGGTGCCTTGAATCGTAGAATCKTAGGGTAATTTGGGTTGGAAGGGATTTTCAGGTTCATCTCATTTCAGCCCTGCTGCCAGAACACTCTGCACTAGGTCAGGATGCTCCAAGCCAAATCCATCCAGGCCTTAGACACTTCCAGGGATGGGCAGCCTGTGCCAGTCTCACCATGCTCCAGCAAAGAACTTKCTCCCAATACCTTATCTAAAACTACCCTCTGTCAGTTTGAATCCATTCCCCTTTTCCTGTCACAACATGCTCTTGTGAAAAAGATTTTTTTAAAAGCTTTGTTTAAATAAATGTTTTACTTGCAGCTTGGGTTGGTCACTCTGGTGGTCTAAGTGGCAGGTGAGGAATCATTAAAATAACGGGTYATGTTTCTTTTTGGAGCATGTCCTGAAGGAAGAATTGGCAGTTTTGAATCCCTTTATCCACCCTCTTGAGTTGTTACTGAAATAACGTTTCATTTTTCACTAGAGGAAAGGACCATTTGTTCTACCAAGAGAACTCTGAAAACATAAAGGACACCTTTTCTGCTTCTCATCACCGTGTGATTTTACCAGAGGAACATTTGAAAATGAATCCTTCAACTCAGCCTCCATCATTTCCCAGCAGCAGCGATCCCGAAGCGTTTCCCAGGAGGAACGTCCTGTCCATGCACAACCCGGCCACAAAGGACCTGCTGGCAGGTTTGTGTGCTCCTGGCTTCATCTTCTGGGTTTCACTACCAAACAGCTCTTGGTGATGCTTGTGTGCCTGTCTGGAGATGARATTTTCTGAAGGGAGAGAGTTCATACCCTCCTGCTGCCTTATATCAAAAAAGCCTTTGCTAAAAACCACTGCTGCTGCCTGGATTGAAATGAGCATTGGGTAGGGCAAATTTCTAGGTGTGCTGTTTTTTCAGTTTCATTTTATGGAAAAGAGCACAGATTAGACATCCTCAAGTGCAAACAATTCTTCCCTAAATTAGTCCTTCTCCTGTATTCCAATAATGCCCTTCTAACACCTGACTCGGAGTGCAGTGAGCTCCCTGTGCAGCTGAGTGAGGATGAGAATCACTCACTCACTCCCAGCTGAGTGTTTTCTGGTGTATGAAACATTTCATCCCCAGTGCATCATGATCTCTTGTTAACAGCAGAAAACAAAAGTTTCTGGACTGTAGCTGACACATTTATGGTGTTGACACATTGCTTTTAAATTGCTGAAATATAATCCTTCTGTGTATTTCCCAGCTCTCTTGGATCAAGGCAATAAACTCCGTGATGCCATGGTTGTTTCTGCAATGAAGTCCAGCCCAGACATGGAGATTGARCTGAATAAAATGTCTCATTTTATAGAGAGAGACGATTTTAAAGCACCAACAAAGTGAGTTTGGAATGGGGGAAGTGAGATTCAAGCTCCCAAGTGTAAATTTTGAGGTTTTATCTGGAAAACTGTAAATATGAAATTCATAGGATGTGTTCTAGGATTCAGTTAGGATGAAACCAGCACAACATTTTAATGGCAAATTAATTTCTACCTGTGATTAAATGCATTAATTTTGTGAATTTATTTTAATCTTCATGAGTAAGCCTGGATTTAAGGCACTGATTTTCATTTCATTTCATTTCTTAATATTTGTATTAGTGTATATATTAGTTCAGAGTTRTTTGACAGTGAAATATTAAATATTGGGAAAAGAGTAGTGTAAGGAAGTGCAGGTGAAATGGCACTGCATCACCAAGAACAGCTTTTCCAATAAATGTAAGTAATTGATGACCYAAATKCATGGTTTTTTCTTAGSAGAAAAGAAACTCYRATYTCTTGGTTTTCCTCTGGAAAAATAGGAATRTTGCCYGTTGTTCTGTGATAACCAGAAAGTAATGCCATTACCCTTGACAGTCAGTGATGCCATTGCAAACTCAATTTCAATTATTTCTGCTCAAACTATTCATATTTGTGTAAAAGTAGATTATTTTGGACTTCCCAGGAAAAACGGATAGACCAATTAACRATTAATCTTGAGCATGCCTTAATGTCTTTATTTTTCCTTGTACTGCTCTCTGTGTTTCCATTGCTGTTGCCCAGGAGCCCAAAAGGCTTGAAATCCAGTTTTGTGCCCATTGCTGGGGATCCCCATCACTTTGGGTCTGAAGTTTCAGGTCAGCAGTTGGACCTAAACTCTGAAGAAAGAGCAATCCAGTTACTGCTGGGCAGGTGGGTGTGATCCTTATTTGACCATTTGGTACTGAAAAATGTCTCTTAACTCTTCAAGTTCTCCACATTTTTGGGAATGTAACCAGTGAATCATGTGCACAAACAATGGAGGTGTTTTATAGCTGAACTGTAATGCAGGACAACCTGCACAGCCCTCAGCCACTTGGTATAAAATTGATAGCAGAAAGATTAACCACAATCTTTGATAAAACAAGATGATTTAATAGTTGTAACTGTTGTGTTCTAAAATATTACATAAAGTAAGTACATAAGACAAATACCACGTTTATTCAAAGAAGAAACACTCTGGAAATTACAATCAGTGAGAAACAATAGCTATTTTGAATCCTTCTCCAAATATTATTGTTATATTATTATTCCTCTCATTCTGCATAGCAGGAGCRTAAATGATGCTTCCATTGTGTCCACATCAGCACCCTGAGCACACAGGGTCTGGGTCAGATATGCTTCAGAATTTCAGTCAGATATGGTTCAGAATTTCAGTTTGTGTTTCCTGTGCCCTGCACTCATTTTTTCCCCGTGGTTTATCAGTGGATAATGCTGAAGTGTTTGCAGATCATCAACTCACAGCACAGAGGAAACCCTTAAACCAAACTAACCCCAACTTGTATCTAAAGATACTTGTGCTTACGCCTATTCAGATATACTGTAGGTTACTTTTTTAATTAAAGCAGACTGTCCTTAAGTATTACTGGTATCTGAAAACATTCCAAAAGTTATAAAGCAGTGAAGGGTAAAAATTAGAGGCAGATGTTAATAGGTATATTTTACAGTGAAGGTCACCAAGGTCTGGAGTCGGTTGCCCAAAGATGTTGTGGAATCTGCAGCTTTCCAGATACCCAAAATCCAAGTGGATTTTTTTATTTGCATCCCTTCCCTCTGAGCAGGGGTTGGTSTRGAKGATCTGCAGAGATGATCCCTTCTCACCCACACTGTCCCACACTGCACACGCTGTTTTCCTGTTGGCTGCAGAGGTGGTGTCCCTGTCACCCTCCCAGTGGGTCACACACACGTGTGGCTCTGTCTGGAACAGGATAAAATAGGCAGAATCAGGATAAAATAGGCAGAATCAGGATAAAATAGGCAGACACGGGATAAAACAGGCAGAATCAGGATAAAATAGGCAGACACGGGATAAAATAGGCAGAATCAGGATAAAATAGGCAGAATCGGGATAAAATAGGCAGAATCAGGATAAAATAGGCAGACATGGGATAAAATAGGCAGACACAGGATGAAATAGGCAGAATTGGGATAAAATAGGCAGACATGGGATAAAATAGGCAGAATCAGGATAAAATAGGCAGACACGGGATAAAATAGGCAGACACAGGATGAAATAGGCAGAATTGGGATAAAATAGGCAGACATGGGATAAAATAGGCAGACACGGGATAAAATAGGCAGAATCAGGATAAAATAGGCAGACACAGGATAAAATAGGCAGAATCAGGATAAAATAGGCAGAATCAGGATAAAATAGGCAGAATCAGGATAAAATAGGCAGAATCAGGATAAAATAGGCAGAATCAGGATAAAATAGGCAGAATCAGGATAAATAGGCTGTATTGTCCAGATCCCCTAAAGATTGACTGCAGAACTTTGAACACTAAAGGTGCACTTCTCTCCTTGCATCCCCAGTGCTGATTTCTCTCCGGGGCATTTTTGGGATCGAGCAGGTTCCCTGTGGGATTCTCTTTCCCTGGGCAGTGAGATGTATGACAGTGAACTCGGTGACCCCCATTATGACCAGAGTCTGCTGGAGAGGCTTTTCTACACAACTCTTGTAAGTGGAGATCCTGTGGAAAACGTGCATTCCCTAAATGTGCAGAAAATCAGGAGTTTGCATGATCAAAAAAACAAATTATTTCAAAAAAACAAATTATTTCAGTACTTTAAAGCTGTATAAGTGTTAAGTATCACACAAAAGCTTGTGAGTACATGAGTACATTGCTTAAAATTAATATTATTAAAAGAACATTGTCAAGACTACGAAGTCAAGCATCAAGTTTGGAAATTGCTGGGATTGAGGCTGTCCAGAAAGCCTTTTTTTTTCTTTAAATCTCTGAAAAATATTGATACTGTTTTAATAGTTTCAAGTGCTGCAATGCACAAGTTGTTTTCCTTTTATGCATTATGACCACTAAGGATCTCTCTTGACAATGGTAATCAACTTCTTATTTATGTGCATTATTTCTCCTTCAGAAATCTGATTCCAGTTTGAGTGATTTCCTCAGTGATGATGATGTTAAATCCTCAAAGAAACCATCCAAGACAGAAACGCTCAAGAAATTTGGTCCAGTGAGTCCACAGAAGAATTTTCATGCCTTTGATCAGAATGGGACAGAAACTAAACCCAGGTAGTTACATCAGTGATCTCTGTTCTGACCTCATCTGAATTGTATTCCCTTTTTTTCATGATGGAACAATAACCTGTCCCTAAAGATCCAGTTACCAAGCTTAACTTGTGCAATGCAGTTAGTGTAAATGTTTTGTGACTCTTATTTTTTTTCCCCTAATTCAGCTCCAAACAATTTTTTCTGCTTTTTTTTTCCTGAGTAACATTGTGATTTTTACATCAGGAAAATCCATATCCCCAGAGGTGCCAAAACAAAAACATWTCCAAGTCAAATCTTGCAAATTACACAAATGAGATTTAAAATTATGACAAAAATCCTGTTGCTGTTCCTCTGCAGCAGAGACTTGTCCTTTTGCATTATTGTATCATCTCCCTGCTTTTATATAKAGCRTTAAATGAAGCTTTTCTTTTTGAARAGTTAGGATAAGAGTTTTTTCAGATTAACAATGTAAAACATGCACTTCCTAGGTTGGTTTTTTTTTCAGTTATGGACCCCAAATACTGTAAGACTTCTGTTACAGAGAATTACAGAGACCACCAAATTTGTTGTAAAAATACATTAAAAAAAATGTGTATTTTGGTGACCCTTGGGCAGTTTTTAAATAACATCCCACCAAGCTACAATTTTCCCTGCATGTGGCCATGCTAAGAATTTCTGCAGTCCTGAGGCTCATTTTCTCTCTCCAGCTGCTTTCTCACTGCTCCTCCAGAGGAGGGAACAGAAGTGGCTCCTGTCACATCCTTGGGTGCAGAGAGGTTGGCTCTGCTGCAGCGAGTGCACCAGGCCAGAGTCAGCATTGAGAGCCTGAAAATCCCTCCTGAGAGCATCCACATTTCCCCCAGGAAGAGAGGTTCAGTGGGGAAACCTCCCCGGCCCATGGCTGCTCACAAATGGTGAGAGGGGATTGTTTGTTC